CTCCAGTCCAACATGGCGGCGGCAGCGTCCGCCCCCCCCCCCTCCCCACACCCCCACCCCAGCCTCCCTCAGGGCCGGAGACTTTCCCGCGGGGCCCTCCGGTGGGCGGGAAGACGGCCCAACCCCGCCGGGCCCCTTTTCGCCGCTGCCGCTGCTCGCTGAAAGTGTCACCTACCCGACATGACTAACGGCCGCGGCGCAGAGCCCCCACAACCCGCAGAGAACAAGGAATACCAGAAGCAAGCGGCGCTGCGGCCGGAGCCGTACTGAGGACGGCGCGGCGATCTGGCCCCGAATGCGGGACTTCGGCAGCCAATCAGAGGGCAGTGGGCGGTACCACAACGCCACGGCTCGAGGGGTGGCTCTGTGGTAGACCAGAGCCCAGAGGACTTCAGAATCCCCGTTCCCCCCTCCTCGGACGGTACCATTATTGAGAGGGAATTGTGGAGAGGCCGTACCACTGCCGCGATCGGGATGGGGGAGGGGACTGAACCTACCCGGTACGTCCTGATTACAGTCCTATTTTTCACTTCATTGGATCTAATAGAATTCGAGGTTAGGAAGCGAAACAGGAGAGCCTTATAAACGCAGATTATATGGTTAGAAAAGGACATTTCGAATGGTATGTCCTAGTTCGCTCCGCTTGGGCTGCAGAAGGCTTGAGCCACCTGGGGGCGTTGGGAGTTGCTGAGCTCCGGGCCGTAAAGTCGTGACGAACTGCGGGACCAAGTCGCCTCCCGGTTTGTTGTAACTAACTTGCCGAGTAACAGACTACAAGGTGATACTGGAACAAACGTGTGCCTTAAAACGAAATCACACACAAACCGGACCCTGAGGATGTGTCAGGGTAGGGGGTCGAGCTTTAGTTTTCGGTGCTAGGATAATAGCTAATTCTAATTGTCAGGCACCTTGCATCATCTTGTTTAATTCTCACAACAGACTGATGAAATACTATTCCCACGTTACAGACGAGAAGGCAGAATTCACTTGCCCTGGGTCGCACTACTGGTAAATGGCCAATGTGGAATTGGAATCCTGGTAACCAGGCACCACTGCCTGTGGGTCTAACTGTTCTGTTGCCCTGCCTACAGGGGCCTCAAGCTCTCGAGTCTGAGGTGAGGCTATGAAAGCTCAGAGAGAGCACACAAGGACATTTTCCCCAAGGGCGACGTGACATCTGATGAGACAAACCATAGGTGATGTGCAGAAGCTGACCACTTCTTAAGTGGGGAAAAGTGTTTTCGATGACTTGGGACTTCCGCGGTGGTCCAGCGATTAAGACTCCACGCTCCCAATGCAGAGGACCTGGGTTCGATTCCTGGTCAGGAAATTGGATCCTGCATGCCGCAACTAAACACGTGACAAAGAAGATGCTGTGTGCAGGCAACTAAGACCGGGCCCAACCAAATAAACAAATACTTTTTTTAAAAAAGTGATTCAATATGTTTGGAGTTTACCCAGGAGGGGAGTGTGGTAGGAGATGAAGCCAGAAAATTAGGGGGCTAAAGAGCTGAGACCTTGTAAAGTACATTAGAGTTTGTGCTTTATTGAAGGCAGTGGGTAACTCCTGCCAGATGATTTTAAAGAAAGATCAGATTTGCATTTTCGGGTTGCAATATGAAGAATGTATGGAGATAAGAGGTGCCTAAAAGCAGGGAGACCGATTAGGTGACCAATGCAATAATTCTGGTGAGGGATCATAGTAGCCTGGACTTAGGTTGTGGCTGCGGGGATGGGGGTAAGTGAGAAGATCCCTGACATACTTAGGTAGTAGACTCAGCAAGATCTGGTGACCAATTTGGGTGGGAAAAGAAGTGAGAAGTCCAAAAACAAAGAAGCGAGAAGTCCTGGGTAAATTCTGAGTTTCACACCTGGACAAGTGGGCGGGTGGTGGTGCCATTCACTGTGACCGGGAAAAGGAGGAGGGGCAGGCTGGGCTGGAGGTGGAGCGGTAAGTTCAGAATTACTGCCTGCAGGTCCGAAAAAGAGGCATGAGGTCATCTCTCTTCATTATACTAGCAGTAAATGAGAGCTCAGCTCTAGAGGTAGAGGGTCACAGAACTCTCTAGGCAGGTCCAAATAAGCAAGGCTAAAGAAATAGAAATTCTTTCATGACTAAAAACAATTTAGCCATTCAGTGTATATATTGAGGAAGGCAACCCCAGAGGAGGAGTTGGGCAGGAGAGAATTCGGTTATTGCCAGTTGGGGGAGCAGGGAACACGATTTCTAGGTTTTTCTTCCTCTTTTTTTTTTTTAATTTTTTTTTTAGTTTATTTATTCTATTATTTTTGGTGGGGTTGGGTCTTCGTTGCCGCGCGCGGGCTTTCTCTAGTTGCCGCCAGCGGGGGCTACTCTTTGTTGCCGATCGCCGGCTTCTCATTGTGGTGGCTTCTCTTGTTGCAGAGCACAGGCTCTAAGCGCGTGGGCTCAGAAGTTGTGGCACGCGGGCTCTAGGGCTCGGGCTCAGTAGTTGTGGCATGCGGGCTTAGTTGCTTCTCAGCATGTGGGATCTTCCTGGACCAGGGATCGAACCCACGCCCCCTGCATTAGCAGGCAGACTCCCAACCACTGTGCCACCAGGGAAGTCCCGTTTCCTCTTTTTGAATTTTTTTAGAATTAGGCTATTTTAAAAGATGGATATACAAAAAGTGTTGCTCATCATCAACCCCTTAAGTTTGTACCACCGTTCATTCATGCATTCTTCACTCAGCTGCCATCTCCTGAGGTCTACTAGGTGTCAGGCCCTGGAAGACCTAGAAATAGAGAAACAGGAAGCAGGATGGCTCCTGCCCTCCAGGAAGGGCCTTCTCATAACAGGGACAATACAAACCTATGATTCCAATAAACTACTGAACATGCTAGAATTGGAGGGTGCAGAGGGTGGTCTGAAAACACAGAGGAAGAGCACGTAGCCTACATGAAGGGTAGAAGGGTTATTAAGGAAGTCTTCCTGCAGGAGATGCCTCCTAAACCGAGCTTTGAAGAAAGAACAGGAGTTAGCCGGGGGAGTGTATATCGGGAACAGCATGCTCCAGGCAGCAAGGGCTGTATTTGCAGAGACCGGGAGAGAAGAGGGTTCTGGGAGTTTTTAGTGATTCAGTCTGGCTGGTCTGTGGAGTTGCAGGGGTGGGGAATGGTGATAAGTGAAAGAAGTAGGCAGAAGCCACATTTTGAAAATCCTTGTGTGCCTTGTGGAGGAGTTTGGATGTTAAATTTAAAACAATAGAGAACTTCTGAGGAATCTAATCAAAGGAGTGACATTTAGTTTTTTATATCCATTATCTCTTTTAATCTGGACAGCCCTGTGAAATAGATACTGCTGTTATCCACATTTTGTAGACTGAACACTGAAGCTTGGGGAGGTGAAATTCTTTACCAAGTTCACACAGCCAACTAGGGACAGAAACAGAGCTCACAACCAGGCCTTTGGGCCAAGCCCCACGTTCTTTTTGCAGTGTCTGTGGTCTCCCAGACTTGAAACAGAGAACTCCCAGGTCTGCATTGTTCTGGGGCTTCTTTCCAAGGGTCCTTCTTTACCACAAACTGACTCCAGATTGACTCCTGTGCCCTCCTGCCTTCCAGGCTTTTGCGAGGATGATTATCTGCCACAAACTTTAACCCTCGCTCTATGTATTTAGGGAAGACAGCAGGTACTTTTCATACATCAGCTTTAGCAGAATGCATCTGGGAAGGTCTTAGTAGTGGGTCTGTTTGCCCCTGATCCATTCCTTGGGTCCTCACTTGGGGAGCGGACCCCTGCAAGCTGGTTTCAATTTCATCGATTCCCTTAGGTGGTAGCTTCCGGCTAGAATGGCCAGGGAGCATCTCGGTGGGAAATTAGGTGGTAGAAGAAAGGGAGGATCAAGGGTTATTTCTCCTCCCCCACCCCCACCTCCCTGTCTGCCACAGGAGGTGTCTCAGGCAGCACCTATCTTCTCCAGAGACCCAGTTTCCCTTGGTGACCCTGGCTCTTGGGCTCCAGAACCCTACCCCTCCCTTCATCCCTCCAGCCTATGGTTGGTAGAGTCTTCTTGCCTCCACCCTGTTTGGCTTCCCAACTCTTCCACCACTGGTGTAGGGCCTTGTAGGACACCGCAAGGACTGTGAATTTACTCAGAATGAGAAGGGAAACCAGTAGAGGGAGCCATTTAGCAGAGCGCCAATAGGATCTGAGCTATTTTACCAGGATTACTCTGGCTGCTATCTTGAGAACAGATTGTAGGGGGCAGGGAGAGGTTATTACTCCCACCACAGTAGAAACCAGACCCCAGTGATCTTTTGCCTCTTTCAAAATCCTGTGGAGCTCACAATTGGACCACATAATTCAGGGCTTGCCTACCTGCTTAGAGACCAATTTGTTCTGTAGTTGGGTTGCATCGTTCATCTCTGAACCCCCCAGTGCCTCATACAGCACCTGAAACAGTAGGCACTGAAGAAAGGGGGTGGGGGGGACTTAAATGAATGAATAAATAAATGCTGAAAAAAATGGCATGACTTGTCTAGAAACTCCTCAAGCTCAAAAACCTCATCCAGGACTTCCCTATATCTCCCATGGGGCACAGAGTAAGTGTTTGGTGAGTATTTGTTGAACACTGTAGGCCTGCTCTGTGCCAGGTGCCCTCATCACCCACACCCACCCCACAGAGGGGTCCCTGGAGCCCCACACCTCCAGCCTTTGTAGAGAGCAAGCCTCCCACGGAGATGAGACTGACACTCCGCTGCGGCAGGGCGGGAGGAGGCTCCTTGTGAGTGACCTGCTGCCCTGTCCTCTGGACAGAGGCAGGCACTTCCTGTTTGGGGTGGAAAGGAACCAGACACTTTCCTGTTAGCAGGTCTTTTAAGCAAAGCCACAGATGCTGAACAGGTCCTGGCCCGGCCTTTCAGACCAGATGCCTGGAGGTTAGACGGCCTTTATGTAGAAGGGAAGTGGGGCACAGGGCCAGATTGGCCAGCCTTTTATTGTGTTCCTGGCAAGTCCCCTGGGTCCTGGTGTGAGTAAAAAACAAACCAGAAGAGGCTGACGCCCTGCAAACTGTGATGAGGGTTAGGGTTGATGGGGCAGCTCTGAGCCAGAAAGCATTGTTTGGGATGAGGTAGGTGTTCATGCAATTGTCCTGGGGCAGGACAGGCTTGTGTAAGTCGTGTGGATATGAGTGCTTTTGAGTGTGAAACCCATGTGAAGAATACATGCAAGTCGCTTATGTCTGTGCACACAAGCCCCAGCACTTGATAAGACTGAACAGTAATTAATTGTCTAGCTTGCTCCCCATAGCAAA